TTGGACAAGTGAACGTAGGCTTCTTGCAGACGTCTTTCCGTATATGGCTACATCATTGGATAATATTTGAACAATACAACTTTGCATTTGGAAATCAGTGTCACTGGTAGGAATAATCCTCATACAAATAATGAGACAGCAATTAGGGTAGCCAAGTTTAGTTCAACTTTACATTGCAGGACAAATCACTTAAGATGCTCTCGCTTTGAAAGAACAGATCAAGAAGCTGTTAATTAGGGAGAAACACTCAATTTCAGAGCTCATCTCAAGAATGGAATTAGTATAAGCACTGTGGCTCGCCTCTGCCAGTCTCTTTACCCAGGTCACTACCAGGCATCCCTGGACTCACTCCTCTCCCCACGGGCATTCAGAAAGGAAATGGGTTTAAGACAACGTTGGCTGAATAATGGCCTTCAGATAGTTTAAGAGTAACAATAAAAAAGAATCAAGTAGGAGTTGAGGGATTAAACCTCCTGACCTCTGTGCCCTGCTGTGGGAAAGGGTCTCTTCCTCCCATGAACAGCGCTATTTGAGTTCTCAAGTACTTGATCGAAAGGGCTATAGGATGCCCCACCTTGGAATTCTATATTTGTGCAAGTGGGCATTGTGGGTTTTAGCCTGCTGTTTGTCAAGCCCTCAGCCCAGATGGGGTTCCGTAATGACTTCTACAAGGTGTTTAATCAGATCCTAGAAGAGCACATAACTGCCATGCTTAATTATTCCAATTTAATGGAGTATTCAGCTGGATCCCGCCTGGTTTGCTATCAATGATTATAGTTGTGGGGAAGAGGGGCAAGGACCCAGATGCCCAGGCCCAATTTACGCTATACACAGTGGGAGAGGAGACTGCCAGGGTCTGAAACCTCCAACTGCAGATGGATATTTATAGCTGTTCTTTCTGAGCCAGCCCCGATTTAGTCCAAGCAGATAATTTACTGAAATGCTCCTACTCTGAATCTCCTTCTACACACAGCCTCCCTCATGATTTCACTGGGTAGGGAAGGCTGGGAGAGCAGCTGATATTAAAACAACAAAACTTCTGACCCCAGTGCCTAACGGCCTGAATGATGGGTATTGATGGCCAGGAAGTGGGTGATCTAATCCTTAACTGTGTTCTTTAATAACTCAGCTACAGTTCAGGGCCAAAGGATATTTGCATGTCAAGGAGGCTGATTATTTTTCATTTGTTCTTCTGAAAAAACAAGATGCTCTGCAAATTTTAGGCAGGTCTCTGATATTAGGGATGGAAAACTGAGGTCAGTATTTTTCAGAGTCTGCAGATGCTAACAGTTGTATCAAGACTTCAATTGTAAGGATTTAAGGAGGTAGTACGTTTTTTGATATCAAGATGAACTGGATGGGGCTTAAAGGGTTTTTTTTTTAAGTAACTTAAAAGTCTCCAAATCTCATGTTACAATGAAAGAATGTCACCTTTGGGGGTGATGCTCATTTAAACATTTTATCAAATTCATGAGGAGACTGTCTTGGTGCCTAAGTTTCTGCCTAATTCCTATTATTGAAAGTCAGGATGCTTGGTCTTTGGGTTAATATGGAGGTCACAGGTCAGAAACCTAATGCACTCCTTGGATTTTGGCAAGTTTCTTACCACTTTCCCTCCCATGGAGCATAAACAAACACATTTGCCACCTACCTGCCTCTAACCAGGTGTTGAATGAAACCTCTTCAACTCCATCTATGTTCTTTTCTACCAGTGAGTAGTGGGCCTGACCTGCGTAGACTAGAACTACGGAAATGATTTTAAATTTGTAAGCACAAAATCCACAAACATTCCAGTGAACTGAAAGTCAGTGTTTCTTACTAACCAGTCAAAGAGCAAAGTGACTGTAAAAATCTTTATCACCTCCTCCTGCCCCCACCCCCACATCCCCCAACTTGGAAATTCTGAAGAACACTGGTGTGATTTCAAAGGATCTGAGATTATTTAACAATCTCCAGAAGTTGGGACTAAAAGTGGTGGGCCTTAATTTCTTAGAAATGCTTGCATGAATTTATTTCATGGTGACTATCGTGGTAAAGTGGGTGGCTTTGCCACAGATGGTGGCTTGTTTCTAGTGACATACCTTCCTTGTTGGAAACAAGAGTACGGGCCACTTCTCAAGAGGCTATATTCACAGCTTCTCCAAAACTAGAGAATTCATTGGTTGGTCAGTCTAAATTTTATGTCTGTTCTCTCTTTAAACTGCAGGTCTAGGTTTCTCAGGCCAATACTTTACACAAGGAGCAAGTGATCTTAATATTTAAGTACTCCACCCTTGACCATATAGTTCTTTGTGAAGAAATCTATCAAGAGCATTGTTTTTACTGTTTTTTATAGATACCTCTTTGATCTTCAGCTCTGAGGACAATCAGCTATGGTTTATGGCCTCGTGAGTTTGATCAAGACTTCTGGTTAATGACATGTAATCAAACTCTGCATTTTAATGGGCTAGCAGGACCACAAACTCATGGCATTTCAAAAGATAATTGCGACACCAGCAAAAGCAGGGCTGTACTGTTCCTCGTCCCCCACCGCCATCCCCTTCCCCCCTACCATGTAACATATTTTTAATGATAAACCTGCTCCCTGATACTGAGAACAGCAGGATAAAAGCCTCTAATATACAAATTAATTGTCACATACTAAATTGGCCTAAATACGTAATAGATCACTCCATATGGTTAGCAAAAAACTGCTTGATATTAATTCTCAAATAAAAATAGTGATTTTTAGTGGATACACTCCAATATTTAGTTAGTTTGCACCCAGTAAGTCCTTGTAGAAAGTGAACGCATTTAGTTGTTAAGGGGTACATTTTGTAATTAACAGTGTTCATCAGGATGCCAAGTTACTCAAAACCACATGTGGTAAGGGAGCATGATGGAGATTTTTCTATGGCTTGGTTGTTGACTGGAAACATCTGTTTGAAAAAAGTTTAACAGGCCAAAACATTTTGGTCATGTTCTTTGATACAGCCCTTTGGAGGCAGACTTGAGAGATTATTCATTCTTTTCCTAGTATAGACTGAGAAGTATTTCTTCCAAAGAATACCTTCTGGTTTCATCCACAGGTATGGAAGGCGGGATGGCTCTCCAGTCAGCTAGGTTTTGGTCAGATCCCTTTATTTTCTCTAAGCAATGTCACCCTTCCCATCTGCCTAGTTGCCCTTTAAAGCAAATGCCTCCATCTCTGATCAACAGTGCAGAAGAGCTGTATCCACGCCCTTGCCAGGGAACATGACTACCTGCTGTTAAGATTTTATTAAAGACAAGAAATATTTATGGAAAATTGTCTGACGAACATGCAGTTCATCCATTCCTCTGGAGTTTAGGGTTTGTCTCTGAATCGAACCTTTCCCTCCTGTCTCCAACCTGACAGCAGTTCAGTGGGTTCTATCTACAAATATGTTTTCAAGTGTGACCCACCCACTTCTCTCCATCTTCTCTGCCTCCCCACAGTCCGCGCCAGCACTGTCTCCCACCTAGGCTGGTCTTCCTTTTCTGCTCTTTCTCTTACACCAGCAGTTGGTCAACAATGGTGGTGGGTGCCCTGCAAGCTACGAATGGTTCTTCCAGCTTTAAAAGGTAGTAAATTAGAATTTAAAACGCGCAAAAGAGACAGTATGTGACTCCCAAAGCCTAAAATATTTACTATATGCCTTAGAAAAAGTTTGCGGATGCCTGTCTTGTGTGATCCCTTCTCTTTTAGAAATCAGAAGAATCCTTTTAAAATATAGGTCCTATTACGCCGCTTTCCTGCTTCAACAGCTTTCTCTTGACTTAGAAGAAAATCCAGACCCTACCACATCCTATAGCTCCTTGGTGATCTGGCTTTTAGCCATCTCTTCCAATGCATCTCCTACCACTGTCCCCCTCACTACCTATTTTCTGTACCTCCTGACATTCCACAGCCTCAGGGCCTTTGAACTTGGTGTCCCCCTACCTGGAATTTTCTTCCCCAGAGTTCTCATGACCAGCTCTTTCTCCACCTTGAAGTCTCCTCCCCACCAGGCCTCCCCTGAGCACACTATCCACGCCTCAGCTCCTCATCTTTAAGGAGTGAAGGATTACAGTAGCTGTCCCATAGGTTTGCTCTGTAGGTAACAAGAGGCTCAGAACAGTGCCTGGCACATAGCGACTATTAAAACAATGCCCATTATTATAATAACTATTTAAGGGAGCCCATCGCAGGTAACTCCTTACTTCTGTCTTTCCCATTTTGTAATAATCTTACATCTGTCTCCCCTTCTTAGACTGTATGCCCCGTGAAGACAGGGCCTGGCTGGTCTTGATCACTGCTGACTCTCAGCTCCGGGTGCAGTGCCTGGCACACAGTGATCGGAAAGACGGGGAGGGAGGGAGCGAGGAAGACACACTCCCGACCCATGATGTCCTGACTCCCCGAGAAGCTGCACTCACTGGCTGCATCTGGAGGCGGCACTTCAAGAAACAGCCTTCTGAAGCCTACCGCCACACCTGCCAGAGGAACATTAGGATATTTCTCAATACATCTCTCATGTGAGGCCTAAGAGAGAAATCCTTTTGAGGGTAAATTCTATTTGAGGGTAAAGGAATCACTTTGCTTCCTCTGAATTCTTGATACGGTTTCTGTTCTCAGAAGGTTGAGAACTTTCTACCTTGCTGTTTCCCTTCCTACTTAGGCCCACGTTCTGTCTTCCTTCTGTCTTGCAATTGATTTAAATTTAGTTTACTGCTTCCTGATTATTTTTCAAATTCCTACTATTTTATTGTATGTATTTCCTTGTAAGCCACATCAAATTTTTGGTTGAATAAGATGCTAATTTAAAAAAAAAAAGGCAATCTTGGGTAAATCACTTGAGCCTCAGTTTACTGAGTTGTGAAATGGGAATCCCACTACCTGTCTATTAAGGCTACTGTAAGATAACATGAGAAGGGTGAAAAGTGGAGAGAACAGTGTCTGGCATGCACCAGCTATTAATAAATACTAGTCACTCTTTACTTTAAATCAGTCTGGGATTCTCTAAGAAAGCGGCTAAGCAGTATTTAATACAGATTAAGATCCTAAATGACCCAAAATAAACTCACGTACACTCAGATTGTTGACATGATAGATCATAAAAATCTACATTCACCTGACAACACGGTTACTTATGTGGACTCTTTTAAACATTTATTAAAAAAGCAAAATGTACGTTCATCTCAAAGAGAACAGTTAAAAATGGTAAAGCAATACAAACAAATTATTACTAGCAGCATCCAGTTGTTAGAATTTCCCGCCCTGCTCCTCCGTCTCTTCCGGCCAAGCGCAGTCCTTCCTGAGCCTGCTGCCACCTACACCTCCCTCATCGTAGTGCAGGTAAAACCAAGGTTTATAAAATTAACAATTTAAGGTTAAACAAGCTTAAATAAGGGTGTTAAATACAAGACACTTCATCAAAGCTTCTGTACAAAGATAAACAAATTTGGCATTGTACACATGATTCCGCTGGCTCACAGCACACAGAGAGGTCTAGGGAGTAAGCACATTCACTCTCTTTCAGCAAAGCAGTAACTATACAAAAGTGAACTAAGAGTTGAAGTGACTACTCAGTGAGCCATTTACAAGGCATACGTATCTTTTTCTTAATCAGAACACTGTTAATATTCAGGCACCGTTTGCTCCTGCAAATAAATAAGTCTCTAAAGTAGTAACCGCATTCAAACTAGTGTTCAACACATCAGTGCTTCTCTTTTTCCTGACACACAGCTTTTCTGACTATTTACTATGCCTCTTTCTTATTGCTATGATAATGTGGCTGTGGAAATAAAACTACTGTACATCCAAAAAAATAGAGCACCTTTAACATTAAAGTATATGTCAGATTATTTGTTTTCATGTTTATTTTACAATACTAAAGCCCAAACTATGGTAAATTGCTTTAACATCTCTACCAGGTCCCCTGATATATAGGAAATAAAACCCAACTCTCTTCCCTCTTGAGGTAAGCCCACACCAGAGCACCATTGTAGTAGGGTCTGAAAGGAAAAGGTCTACACGACACCGGGATTTACATTCATCTCGACACCGGGAGTTACATTCATCTTCACATCGGCCCTGCTCTCCGCTATCACAAGATGGTACGAAGAAGGAGTCGCGGCTGCCTACCCTGCTGGGGTGAATGGTGCTGGACAGAGTGGAATAGCAAAGAACATCTACGATTGGCTGAAAGCATAGTTAAAAACCACACGTTTGCAACTCTGAAGGGACTCTAGGCATTTCCCAAAGTCCCTTGATGGGTGCGGACTGGTTAAGATTTTTTGTCAATGGTGTTGAAAAACCATTCGGTGAATTTGCGCAGCTGAGCCGTCGCCGTCTGGGACTCCTCCTGCAGCCTCATGTTGTCCTGCCGCAGATGCTGCACCTCAGCCTGGAGAACCGCCTTGTCCTGTTTCTCCTGTAAGAGGAGAAACAAACGAGTCGCGGATATGACTGACACGTTCTCTCCTCCTAAGCTGCAGCACAAACATCCTTTATCCTTATTTTTTACTTATTTATTTTTTGAGGGCAGAGGGGGTTTGATTTCCTCAGAGGAGGTTTGCCTGCTTGTGGTTTCCGCCCAAGACAAAGGGATGAGGTGAATAACGCAACGTATTCTTTCCTTTCATCCCACTTTGCTCTCAACAGGAATCAAGACAGCTGTTATACAGGAGGGTTATTAATCACAGTTTAAATTATCCTCTCTGAAAAAGGGAGACGACGGTGAGAGGTTAAAGTAACACCCATGGACAAACGCACAGAGCTTCCGAGGGAACTTCCAACTGAGACAGCAGGCCATCCAAGCTGGAGGAAAACAGGCAACTCTGCTGAAAGATATCACTTTATCTTATGCTGCAAATTCAAAGGTACATTCAGCCTTGCTTGGCAATCCTACCAAACATACCTGGTCAATTTACCCTCTACTCTACACCTTATTCTCTATCCTTGAAGCTCTCAGATTCCTTCCCACCACTCACTGTCTGGAAAAAAGAAACAATCAGAGGAGAACTTTGTCAACCTACCTCTGTTTGGGATTCCGTGTCTGTGGAACACGTGCACGCACACACACACACGCACTCTGTTCTGGTTAACTACCTATGAACTGTGCCCACTCCAATCCAAGGCCGGCCCCCTCCTTGTGCACTAGATCAGGGCATTACCTTCCCACTTTTCACCCTCACCATTATTTCCTTCCCGACTGGATCATTTCCATCAGCACTCACACCGACTGTAATTTCTCCCTTCTTCAAACAAACAAAATGATGACAATAATAAAACCCTTCCTCCCTACCCCTGCCATCACCCTGCAGCAACTGCACTCCATGCCATCTCCTTGGATGGCAAAGTGGCATCTAGCATAGTGCTGATGATACAACGAGAGCTCAGCAAATGGTTGTGGAACAAATTATTCAACTTCTTTTGAGGACTGACCACACAGAGGTTGATGTGTACAAGTTCCAAGGGTTGTCAAGCTGACTCAGTGGGAGTAGAGTGGCTTGGTGAGACCAGGCTTTCTGGAAGCCACTAACTCCTCTTAGGTCAGTTCATAAATAGCAGGTGCAACTGATAACTCAGTGAACCGAAAAATGCTAGCCTGCTGCGTTTTCATCTCGCTCTGAAGACTGGTCATCCAGAGGGCTTGCCCCATTCTGTCATATTGACTGCGATCCTTGTGTTCCGCTAAAACAGAACATATTAGCTGCAGACCAGAAAACAGAATTAGACCGCAGGAGTCTCTGTTTCCATTTACTGTTGGGTTCTGATTAGGGCAGTTATGGTTCCTGAGTCTCTTCATTTTTATTTCTAATAGTTAAAGGGGGTTGATTGTGCAGAGAAAGAGTTCTGATTACAGACTTCCAACAGACAGCTTTACCTTCCGAAGGTCGGTCTGCAGCTGTCGCAGAATCAACTCAAGCTGATTGACTTTACCAGTCAGCGTTGACGGAGACCGTGCCCTGGCAGATAAGGACAGAATTAGAAAGACTCAAGAGCACTGAAGTCCAGGCATTTCATTCAGTATTTCTGTTGGCACGGTTTTCACTCAAAAAAATTCTTGCTGGGTCTCTATTGATTTAAAAAGGGATTCAGAATCTCTACAGGTATATACATTGGTAAAAAAACACAAGACAGATTATCCAAATGAGTTGAACCAACCAAGACTAGGTGGACCAGAATGAAGTCCTGGGAACCACATGTATAATTCAATTTCTCCAGTTTGCCTTTCACTGTCAAGAAAATACCATCATGAAGTTCATTACCAAGGTGAACAGGCAAGTTAATGGTAATTCAAGTTCACATAAAAGTTGGAACTAGGAACGGATGACATGGGTAAAGAATATATATTCCATGGGTGATAAACACGCCAAAATGTAGGGGAAAGAGATGGCTCGTTCTCAACACACTTCAGTGGAAGGTGTGAGGCTGGGTCAAGACCAGGATTCTGGGAGGAAACGTGCCGTTGGCTGGTCAGCACGTGCGGCCTGGCAGGTGGAAGGCTGATCAGCGAGGCGTCCCTGTCCAGTGCTGTTGCAGTAATTAGGCGGCAGACGCTGACCCGGGGCCCTCACCCTCCCTCTCTGTCAGTTAGCCACATCACCTTGGGCACGGGGCGACACGTCTTGGCAGGCAGGACCCACCCAGGGAGCTGAGCAGTTATGCTGCCAAGCACCATCCACTGCAGTAGGGCAGGAAGCTGCGTCAGTCCCACTCAGTCCCTTCTCTGGATTCTGAAGGACTAGGGGTAGGCCTGGGTGGAAATGGTCTCCTGGCTGGCCCAGGGTGAGCTGAATGACTGGGGCCTCCGACAGCGGGAGAGAGGGGGTCCACAGGGGCTCACATACCCAGTTATGTCCATGAAATCTTTTCCACTGCCTGGATCTACACACAGAGGCAGCTCCTGGGCGCCCTCCAAGCCCTGCCCGTGCTGCATGTCTGTCAGGGTGCAGAAGGATGCCACTCTCTGGTCTGGGGAAGGGAGACACACGCAGAAAGAAGGTTTAGTGACAGCCACAATATTTCTTTATGGAAATGAATTTAGTAACTAAATAAAATCTCCCCCTCCCCCTAAAACAGTTATTGCCCTGTTTTAAACAAAACAAAGAAAAAACAAACTCAGGCAAGCTGCTGACTATCAGAAAGCATTAAGATTGGCTGTCCTTCTGGGCTGTATGGCATACACACATCACAGCCACGGGGACAATTAGCAGATACTGGATTTGCTAGAGCCAATTTGCTTTCTTCTTTTCACATCCCAATAAATGCCAAAGCCAACGGGTGTGCATGAAATAACGGTGGTGGATGATGACTGGGCTGATAAACAGAACCATGGAGACGGACCTGTCCTCAAGCTCTCCCCGAACCCAGAGAGCATCCCTGAGACACAACAGCCAGGACACATCTCCCCTGTGTGTTCCCACCCCTCCGAGCTTGAATAACCATGCAGACGTGCAGACATATGAGATATAAAGAAAAGGTTACAGACTATCCAGAGGCCAGTCAGCCCCAGACAATCACCTAGATAGGACGTATGGTGACAGAGCAGCCCGAATTCTTCATCTGAGTCAAGACCTGAAATAAGATTTAGAATTTTCCTATGAACAGTAATATCTTTCTGCACTTGACAGCCTCTGTGGCCCACACAAGGCTCAAATAATGTGGTCCTGTATAGCCTGTATGTGTGTGTACACGTGGGTATACCTGTCTGCAGGTGTGTGTACATGTTGTGCTAAACCACGAGTAGCCTTGAGAGCCAATACTATGCAATGCCAATGTGGTTACATTATACATTTCATGTCTAACAGTCCTGGCTGGATGCACAGCTGTCATGTACAACAAGGGTAAGTGGTATGCTACACATGTAAATCCAGCCGAAGAATACGTGACCCTTTTTGGGTTTGCTTAAATGACCCACTCCATGAACGTAAAGATAGTGGTGGTGAGTGAAATTAGCTACGTAATTTTACTAGAAACCCTTAGAAGAAGATCTGAGGGGCACAGTGTTTGCAGTAGTAGTAACAGAGATCAGTATGACTACCCTCCTTATCTTAGCACAGGGCCATTTCTATTCTTGGCACCAGTAACTTCAGATTCAATGTTTCGAGAGCTAGGCAGGAAAGGGAATTTAATATTCTTTGGAATGGGCACCAGATTGGCCCAGCTCTGGGGCTGGACACTGACACAAGAACGCTGGTCCAGAAATGCTGAATGGCATGCAGAAAAAAGCTGTGTTCTTGAACAAGGTGGAGGTGAGAACCAGGAATACATCTAATTATCCACTTGCCCCTTTCCCCGGTGTCTCTTCCCTTGGTGCCTGCGCCCACCTATGCATCTACTGTTGGGATCCGAGGGATACAGCAGGTGTATTAGTGCTGTGGTGTCTTTTTCACCTGATTTGATTAATGGCTGAGAAATAGTGCTCCGGTCTGAGTCAGGGTGCTCTGTTCTTAATTTAGGCCACTTTGTCACCCTCTGGCTGCTGCACGAGTCTCCTAATGAGGCTACCTGCTTGTCTGGTTTATGGAGGGTCATGCACTTCTCGTTAATTAGAAAGGATGGTGATGGTTAAGGCTGCCAGGAGCACGCGAAGGACACCCAGGATGGAACACTGTGGGCACTGTGCTAGAAGCACCCAGCAGAGGCCGGAGCCCTCCTGGAAGCTGTGCTGAGAGTGCACCAAGTGATCAATCACACAGGAAGTTCTCCAGCCACGCATCCCACTTTCCTACGTCATGATGTCTCGATACCCATGACAGGACACAGATGTCCTTCAACTGACACTTCTGTAAAGCTTTAAAGATGTCTCTCTCCACACTTCAAATATTCTACAAGATGATAAGCATTCTGTAACATACATTCCTAAGAGACAATCATGTCCCCAGCTTGGTGCTGACTAGTAGGAGTTTTGTATATGCTGAAATAATTTGTGATTTAATTAAGATTAACAGCATCATTTGGGCATTGCCTACTTCTACACGATAGGATGTGACTAGCAGAGGTGGGGGCAGGAATGACAGGGCACACTGCCAGGGCTGGGTAGCTCCTGGGGCACGGTGGGGAGGGTTTGGGCTGCCATAGTGTCTAAGAGAACCCTCTGTTTTACGACGGCCCCAAATAAGGGAACACTTCACAGTTTAAAGAAATCAACAGCAGATGTATTTTTATTCCACAGTGACTTTAACTACTGACAAAGAAGGAATGTCAAAAGAAAATAGAGTTTATTTTTCTCTCTTTTTAAGAGTTCCACTGACTCATCCATATTTTATGCAACCCAGTGATAACTCAATTAATTGCTATCTCTCGTAACATATTTGGGTCTGATGGTCAAGTCTAAATATCTGATGAAAATGTCTTAGTTTGCTTCATCTATTTTTACCTTAATTGATAAAATAGCCACATATATGACAGAAACAGAACTTGCTCCTGGCAGCCATTCAAACATTCCTTGGGGAGAAACAAGGTCCTACTGGTCCTACTGGAGGCAAGAAGCCAAAAATAGAGTTTTGCCAGCAATGAAATTTCACAAAGAGGACTTCACGTGGGAGCTGAAAGGCTTGGGAGGCTGAAATGCAAACAGAATGCTACTTGATTAAGTACAGACACTCAACTACTCTGCAAAACAGCTAATCTCAGCGACAGTTTCAGTGTAAGCTTTATTCCTCCACAGCTTACTTCTGTGATGATAAATATTCAGTAACCAAGTAATTACAGACATTGAACCAAATGGCACACACAAAACTGTAAGAAAAGAGAGGCGCAGGAGTAGGAGGAGCCCAGCAGAGACACAATCACCCACACTCCACACATGCAGCCTGCTTCCTTTTTTCCCTCCTTTCTTTCCTGAGCAACTAAATCTGCTAAGGTAGGACACTAAGCATGGCTTACACATGAAACAATCAATCCCTTTAAATGATTTTTTAAAAAACCTTATTTCAATGTCAGTTTCTTATTTTAGTGCATTTAGCACTAAACAAGAGGATGAACAGTCAACAGGCTGTTCCATATCAATCTAGAGCTGAGAAGGCAAAACAGTTGCCTACAAGTAACTCCTACGACCCCAGACAGGCTGCCTGGAGCACTGGTAGAGGACTGTAAGGCCAAGCCTGCGTCAGGGAGGGATGAGTGCTCTGATGAATTAGTCATGTCTGCCGAGGGCATGGAATAGGGGAGCGGTACACGTGCCGGATACATGCCATACAGGACATGCAAGTAGGAGGCTAGATTACACTAAACGTATTTCCACAAAGCTGTTCAAATATGTGTTTGCTACAACTACAAATTACAGAAAAGCTGGGGATTTCTAGCTACATGCAGGAAATTAAAGGTTCTGATTCTGACAACTGTGCTTATCAGCTTGCAGAAAGCTGACTTAACTGACTACTAGGAAAGAAAAAAAAACGGTTGCATTGCACTTTAACATGAGATACTTGGGTTTTGGCCTTTTGCAGCCCACTGATTAATGCAGAAAAATGATGCACCTGCCTCTGAGTAACAAAGCAAGCTCTGGAATTATTCTTTATTTAAGATGTAACTATTGTTGGCCTGAAACAATGTTATTACTTTTGTGATAATTAAAGTCAATTTACTCTATTAAATTAACTTTGCATTTTTCATCTAAGTAGCTGTCATTTTTCTTTTCTATTTTTTTTAACTAATTATGTTCCCTTAGGAGTTATGTAGTAGGTCACATTTGTTTATGCTTGTACACACGCACACACACACATGCATACACACACACTCACATGGTGATCAAATATCAGTAACTTTAACAACTTAACTTTAAGCTGAAGCTTCAGAACAGAAAACTTCTCATCATAAAAAGTGATGCTTATTATGCTCTGTTTAAGAAACCAAGGGCATATGGGAGACAATAAAAGTATATTTTTCCGTTTTTTTTGGAAAATACACCTATGTGGAATATTTCATTCCCACAGTGGTGCCTTATGAAAGAGCTGTCAACTCTGCACGCATCTTGCATACAGATCTTCACTCCTGAGCACACACACCATCACATGCTGATGGGAAGATGACAGTCGTTAACCCCAATGGGAGAGAGCTGGCTTCCAGACTGGAGGAAAGGCCTTCCACGGCGTGGGGCCTGCTGATGCTGTGTGGCACGCCGAGATCCAGTCTCCCATCGCCAGTTTGCAATTTTACCTTTTAAGCCTGCTTTCATTTAAAACAACATCGTCCATTCAACAAATGCTCAAGAGCACACCAATTGCCTACTTCCGATATTTTGATAAATGAGAATTACTTTAAATCCTAGAACTTTTAAAGAGACTCCACTTCCCTTGCCCAGCTTCACTGTGGACCCACGGCCAGCTTTTCCAGTTGGGTTTGTTCATTGGACCTTTCTTGAGAGGGATGGAATCTATTATCTACATTATTCAGTACACCTAAACCTTACATTATGCCACGTAACAAAGGGAATTATGAGTACTGCAAGGGTGACAAATGATAATATTATTGTATTACATAGATCATAAATTTTATTTAGAAGTTCTGACAGGCGAAGGGTCACATCTCACCCCCAAAAACAAAAAGAACCACATACAAGGAAACAAAGTCTCAGCCAGTTTTCCAAACTTGGTGTCACAGGACAGGGAGTCGGGAGCCTGGGCTCCGTGAGGGCAGGGTACACTGCCCTTGACTTGCCCTCTCCCTCAGATTTAGGAAAGAGTTCTCAATTTTTTGACACTGAGTTTTTTTGGGTAGAGTTTGGTTATCTATCATTCACTTAATTAATCTTTAAAAATGCTGTATAGTATTTCTCTATTGGAAGCTTTTTTATTCTTTTGAATCATTTTCAGCATGCAAGTTCTCAGGAATTAGATTTCTGATCAAAGGATGGGTACATTTTTGGCTGTAGCTCACACTGTCATACTGCTTCAACAAAAAGACGGATCATTTTATAATCTTTAAAATGATACCAGCTGGGTATCCATAGCTTCCCAGAGCTCCTGCATCATTTTTCATCTTCAAAGGTGTAAGCTGGTAGCTCATTATCGTTTAAATTTACATGCGTGGTTGAACATTTTTCAAGTCCTTATTCACTGTGTGATCCTCCTCTTGTGGCCGACGCATCTGTATGCCCTGATCATGTTTATCAGGGGTTTGGTGTTTTTTGCCGGTTATGTTCCTTCACGCACTGGAGAATTTCTGGTTTTACCCATCACATTTATTACAAATCTTTTCCCATATTCCCGTATTTCTCTTTTTATTTTAGTGTCCTCTTTCAGGTTCATAAAAGATCTAAATATTTAAATACTTTTATCTGGTCATATTACATTTTGTATGTTCTCTCATTCCTCCATAATTAAAGCATTGCCATGCTTCCAAAACAGTAATCTTTCTTCACTTTTTCTAACTCCTAAATCCAAATGGAGTGCATAAATTCCATTCCCATTTAACTCTTAAATATATTCAGATTTCGGTCTGGGCTCTTTATTTTTCTTCAAAAGGACTCATTTCTATTTTTTGATTCATTATTATCCTGTTTTAATTATTATTATCGATTTATAATAGACTTTTTTGTTGAACATTGTTTATCTATTTTCCAAATGAATGCA